TGCTGTGGATATTTTTCCAGCATTGAAAATGTGACAACAAACCATTATAACTCACTCTAAGCATTCAAGGCTTCTGATCTACATCAGTAAAGGAGCTGCAAGCTTTATACTTTAAAGACAGCAGGAGGGCCTTTGTTTCTCGAAAGATTTTAGTGTGGCTTTCATCTTGTTGCTAGAACATTTTACTGCTAATACCAAGCACCTCAGCTATGGCTTTAGGGCACAGTGCATTATCAAAAGCTGAGTATTCACACACTGAAATGATCCAAATTTCCTTCTATCCGGCAGCTTGGTAAATCGAAGTCATACATGACTGAAATCTGGGATTTTGTAAAACAACAATGAGAAGAAAAGAAACCCGGGACAGTTTTTTGTTCTTTAACTTCAGAAATTCACCTGAATGGCAGCAGGATACGGGGAGAGAGCAGTGGAGCCCAGATTGCGTCCCAGGAGGGGGTTGAGCGGCATGGAAAGCGAAGTGTGCGTCGCACGCCAGTACGCCTCCAGGTACTCAGCCAGGTGTTCACAAGCATCTTCAAGCTGGTTCTCATCCAAAATAATATCAAACATCTCCTAAGGTTGGAAAAGAAGAGAGGAAGGTGTAACTGCTGCTGCATTTGGATTTCTTTTCACCATCTTTCACCACTTGTGATTACATCATGAAACCTAACTTAACTTAGAAGCTGTTGCTTCCCTTAATTAAAAAAAAGGGGGGTGATGATTACTCACAGAAGGACACTGTGCTAGTTTCTCTGCTGCAACAAGCTGCACATTCAAATGTTTGCTTTGAGACTTCCCTCTTGATTTGATCAGCCTCTGCAAGACCTGTGGGTGACACAAAAACAGTCTAAAAATGAAGAAACTAGAAGACGAGTCGTAACAGGCCCATGGACTCTGTTACATGTAGGTTTATGACAAGAGATTCTTTTCTAGAAAATCCAGCCGACACAAGCAATGGCACGCCTGTCACTGCTCCAAACTCGCATTACAGTCAAGTCTATGACTTTCTCTCACTGCCTGAAGGGTTTCTTGGTATTTCACAACGTACACTGACACTTGGCATATTGTCAAGTACAACACAGTAAAGATTTTTGTCATTGTTTCTAAATAATATCAGTTTAAAAAAATAACATAATATATAGTATCCTGTTAGGCTAATGTAATTAAGTAATTTAAGCTTTTAATCTCACCTTAGGCGAGGACACCTTAACATGGACGATAATGGGTGCTAATGAAGTCTTGATGAGCTGCGCTGGGTGGTTAATGGTGTCAGCATCCAAAACCACCAGCTGTAAAGACCTGGCCAGCTCAAAGATCCTCTCTATTTCACTCTGGACCTCAGCTACAAAAAGTAAAGAATGTACGGCAGAGCAAATATGAATAAGAAACAATACGCGACATATTTACGCTCCACGTCACCTATAAGACATGCGCATCATTGAGTGAGTTTCCTGTAGCTTTACCAAGGCTGGAGCGGGTGTTGGATCTCTCAATGATGGCCCTCTTACTGGGGTTGTTTAGTACTGACCTCTTGGCCAACGATATGTCAGCTGTTACCCTCGTGATGGATATCCTGGAACAAAAACCGTACGCGTCACACAGAGCACGGTTAGCACCTCAATGCATTATATGACAGACTCTGCTTCGCTTTCGCTGCTCACCTCCCATCGAACCTGTGCTTAAGGAAGTCAAACAGCGCTTTCTGCATCATGTCGGTGACCTGCAGCAATGGGGAGCGGAGAAGGCGGTGCAAACAACATGGAGATGGGGAAAAGAGGAAGAAGAGA